ACTTGTGAAGAGTTGTAGTGGTAATTGAAATTCACAAGTAATCTTTCTAGTGACAGAAGGGTTGAGGCAACTGAATAACTTCCTCTATTTAACTATTTATTGTAATTGTGTATGAGTATGTCATGCAATGCATGAAATCGTTTCAAATCAAGCATGTTTTGTGGTATGGTGTGTTTATTACATGACAAGGGATTTTGGTTAAATAAGAAATGAAATTGTGTAATTTGATACAGAAATGTTTATATGGGTATATGTGAGAAATGTGGTGATTGGGAACCTATAATTGGTTCAGAAAGCATGATCATAAAGGTGGGAGTTCACCCGTGCGGAGTGTGGTGATAAGATCATTTGACATATTCTCCTTAGTGTTCGATGAGGTGCGATGTTGAAAATTGTATCTCCTTAGTGCCTTTTGAGGTGCAGTATTAGAGATTATCTCCTTAGTACCTATTGAGGGTGGTGTTGGATATTTGGACTCTTTAGTATTGATGTGATACAGTGTTAGAGTCAACGACACCCCATTGTATGTATTGCAGAAAACCATAGTTCGGAAGCGAGATAGAACAACTTTAGCTGGGTGATTCTATCACTAAAGGTGAGCTCAAAGCCAATGAGAGTGTATATTAGTCTAAGGTGAGCCTATGATTCTGAGTCGGGATAATTTGGAGATTTAGTTGGTAGCGATCATGCTATATGTGGAAAAGTGGTGATTAAAGTGGTGAAATATGGTGAATACAGTTTAAAAGTGGCAAAATGTTATGTTTATGTGTTTTGATGTGAAACATGTGATACATAATATGTTTACTTATATAATATGCTATACTTTCATATAGTTACATATGATAGTTGTTAGAAGCGAGTTATTCTATTACTGATATTTTTATCTCACCCTGTGGTTATATTTTTACAGGATAGAGCAGTGATCAGGAAAGGAAAAAGAGTTAAGATCATCTTAGAGTTGTTAAAGCTATGTGATTTTAGAGTTTGTGTAATGAACCTAAATCTTGTGAATATTGTGTAAATAAGTTTCTATAAGGTTTCATACATGTTTTGAATGCTTAAAGTCTTGAATATTGTGAATTTTGTGTAAATCCTAAACCATATGTGTGAATATGTGGTAAAATGAGTAATTGGGGCTGCAATTGAGTTGTGAATATGTTATGTGTGTAAAGTGAAGATTGGCAATGAAAATGTGGTGAAAATGACCAAATTGGTGTATTTGGTATAATGTTGTGAAAAGTAAAAATGGGCCATTGGATGGCCAAATTTTGATATATGCATATATATGAGAGATATTGTGGTTAATAAGGTGTAATAAGTCTTTTTAGACTTGGTTCAATACTTGAAATTGTCTAATAAGACAAATGAATCGATTTGAGTGCTTGGGTGCGTGAAATTTTTATAAAAAGTGACTTTTTATACCTAGATATTTAAATTTTGATCAAACCATTAGATCATGTTCAAATCTATCTCATTAGGTAGGTTATGAGATAAGCTATGTGTGGGCGCTTGAATCACTCTAATCGAACATCGTATATGAAAATGGCATACGTCAAAGTTCATCATTTATTGACAGTAGCAAAATCAGACATGTGCGCTATGATGCGTGACACAGAGGGGATTAGAACGTGTGGTTCTATGCCACATGCCGTAGCGCATATGTTGTCTGTCACTGCACATGGCCCTTAATCTAACATCTTTTCTTTGTTTAAGATGCATGCAATGTTTGATGTGGATACATATGGGTTATTCCCATTATGCATTATTCTACTGTAATATGAGTTTGATGATTTTGCAAGTCTTAGATCCAAGCTTTTTAAATAAAATATTTGATTAATGTATGATATTTGTAATGTGGTGATTTAGTAGTCTTCTCCCATATTATGAGGATATAAGGGAGGGTTACAAAGAGAGGAAGAAAGATTACTAATAGAGAAGTAAAACTTGATACGTGGATTTAGGGGGACTCTTGAAATTTATAAAAATGATATCTAGCTATCGGAGCGCTCCAGAAGGAGAAGAGTACTCCTAAAAGATTTAAATATTATTTTAAAATTTTTTTTATTTTACTTTTTAAGAGCACTCTTTAAAAGAGCGCTTTGGAAGGATTAGCCCTTTAGGAGCACTCTTTGGAAAAGCGTTCCTAAAGGATTTAAATATATTTTATTTATTTTTTATTTACGCTTTTGAAACGCTCTTTAAAAGAGCGCTCTAGAAGGATTATCCTTTTAAGAAATTTAAATATTTTTTATTTTTTCATTTTACTCTTTCAGAACACTCTTTAAAAGAGTGCTCTAGAAGGATTAGTTGAGCTCTCCTAAAAAATTTAAATAATTTTTTTATTTTCTATTGTACTCTTTCAAAGTGCTCTTTAAAAGAGTGCTCTGGAAAGGTTAGCTGTGCTCCTAAAAAATTTAAATATTTTTTTAAAAATTTTTTATTTTATTCTTTCAGAGTGCTTTTTAAAAGAGTGTTTCGGAACCCTTTAGAAATGCTCTTTGAAAAAGTGCTCCCAAAGGATTTAAATATTTTTTTAAAATTTTTTATTTTACTATTTCGGAGCGCTCTTGTAGTGAGCACTCCAAAATGCTTGATATACAGGAGCGTTTTTTTTAAAAAATATTTCAATATATTCCACCTCATCTTTTGAGAGTGCTTTTTTGATTAAATGCTTTCAAAGATGTGCTACAAAACATGTATTTTATAGTAATACTAGCACCATTATAAGAATAGTCTTTATCATAAAGTAATCATCGACTCATTCTAATTTAAACATGACATCATCTCTATTAACCCTATTAGTTGCACATCAAATAATTTAATACAGTAAGTGTCACATCATCTTTTTAAGAGTAGTTAAATGTAAAACGTTGTATTGGGAAAAATTAGAAAAATTTGAAACATTGAAAAAAAAAATAAGGATAAAAAACATAATACAATAAAAACTATATGAACTAATAATCATAGTTTTCTTTTTTGTTTAATTCTTTTTCTTGGTCATGGTGGGATACTAATATCTTAGACATGTGAGAATTGATGATCCATCGAACCAATGTCTTCATTGTCAGCACTGATTATAAATAAGAATATTAGGTAAACTAAATGCCACCTCATATACCCACTGACCGACTAGAACATGATATTTCGGAATATTTTAATATAATATGAGCTGACAGTTACTTGATATTTATATTTCTCTTATTTAATTTATACTGTTTAAATTATTTTATTCCTCTTTTCATCCTCTTTCTTACAAATCATCTCCTCTGAACTCCATGAGGTTGATCGTGGAGAGCCAGAAGATGAAGAAGGCGAGGGTCAACCGAGTAAAACGAAGCACATAACCATTAGGAGCAACGTGATTCCCATGGTGGCGTCGCAGGACATCCTTGGAGGGAAAGGTATTGGGTCTGCTTCAATTTTATTTCTTTCATTTTAAATTAAAAGATAATTTTAAAAATATTTTATTGTTCCATAATATAAAATAATTTAAAAAAATTAAGATTGCATTAATAATACTTTTTTAATATTATCTTTTAAGTGGAAAGAGAATTAAAATATGGTATTTTATTTTTAAAAGATTATAGTTTTTTTAAAAAAATTAAAAATAAATTTATAAAATATCATTATTGAGTTTTATTAATAAACATAATTTTATTTTAAATTATCTTATAATTTAAGGTGGAGGGAGTATTGTATTATTGATTGCCATGCTGTTGATGTAGGACATCATCATTGCCGTTTTGATTCATGGGAATCTCTAATTGGATTTATTTTTGTATGATTGATTCCAAGTAGATCCTTGAAAGACCACGAAGTTGCATTATTGTGGGTGAAAATGGCAAAAATTGCAGAAACTGACGAAGATGATTGGGAATGAAGAAGGAATGCTGATCGATGGAGGCTATCGAGGCTATAAATCAGGAAGACTATGAAAAAGAGATGATGAAAAATGATTAAAATAATTTAAATAAGAGAAATATAGATGTCAAGTAAATGTCAACACCGGTTAAAATGTTTTGAGATGTCATGCTCTGGTTGAGCAGTGCACAAGACGAGATGCCGCTATGTGTCTAAGAATTTATACCAAGTTTGCGATTTTATTTCCCCAATTGGAGTTCAAAACTGGGGTTGTAAATACTCCTTTAGGTTTAAAAAAATAAGCATTTCTCTTAAATTAATCCTTGTTTAAAATATAAGTAATTTAATACATGTAAAAAAATTCTCCATTTTATCATTTGTATTTATTAACTTAGATATTTGTATAAATGTATATTTCATTCATCATATAATACATTGCTAATTGAAATTAAGAGTTAAAAAAATAATATATATATTTTTAAGGAAATGAGGGATTTATTGATATGTATTTTTTTCCAAAGCTACTTATATTTTAGAGTAAATTGGTCCCAAAGTTGTGAAAAATATATTAATAAAAAATTATGGAAGAAGTTTTTAAAAATTCTGAAATGTGGCCCATTTACAATCAATTAAAGTGTGATTTTCCCTTTTCATCCCGAAAACAAATAAAAAAACTTGTGTAACATAGTAACAAAATTTTCATAATTAAATGATTATAATTGTGTCTCATTTACAATCATATGTCATTTCAATATTTAAACACTTTTAAATACTTCACTTAAATTGGAGAATGAGAATAAGATTTTAGATTCGAGGAGTAGGGAATTTTTGTCATTTCAATTTAACTTAAATATTAATTCAGCCATATTGCAAAATATTTAAAATACTAGGCTATTATTTTTATTTGATTCTATTAAATTAACTATATTTGAAAAGTCCCTATATTTTAAACGGGAGGGAGTGCTCTAGAAAGATTTCATAATTGAACGTTTCATTTCCAGTCATAATTAAATTATTGAATTGGAGCTATAAATTTGTACTTTCAAGACATGTGTTATTATTCGTAAATTACATTCCATTTATTACAAAAAATTAATTAATTATTTTAATTTCCAATTTGCATAGAGTATTTGGCATTGACGCATAATCTCAAATTGTTCGTTCCTAAAAAATAAATCGCAAATCTTGTATAATTTGTTTTTTTCTCTAGGATATATCCGCTCATATGGATAGAAAAGAAAAGTTCGAGGGTCAAACAACTGTGCAAGCATAGAACGGACGACGCCGTTATGACAAGGAAACGAGCGAAAATAAAATTCATCACATAGCAATGACCAATATCAGTAGACTTCATCGCACTGTTGGATGACTCAGTTCGGAGTAGATCGACCCAGAAACTAAAGACCGACCTTCACTACTTGAAGTAGTCAACTTGCTGCCTTTTAATTCATCACTGCTCGTGAACCCTACTTTACTTTCTTCCACATTTGTCGCTTTTCTCAGCAGAGCTCTTTCCTCGCTCTTTCCTTCAATCACGGCCACATCAAGCCCCACAAATTCCTCTGTCCCTTCTTGAAGCTGCAGCGCAAACTCTAGGCCCCACACAACGTCGTTCATCGAAGGCCGTTCGTTCCCATCTTCCACCAAACATTGGAGTGCCATGTCGCTAAATGCTTTTAAGCACTCTGGTGTGATACTTTCTATCAGGAGAGGGTCAACAGTTTGGTGAATCACACCCTCGCGATGGCATTTTCGGACCCACTCCACTAAACTTGATTTTTGCTTCTCCACGTTACGTACCAAAGGAGGCCTCCCACATAATACTTCTAGCAATACAACTCCGAAAGAGTAAACGTCAGACTTCTCAGTCAACCTTTGACGCTTATAGTATTCTGGATCCAAGTAACCAACACTTCCTTTGACGCTTAAGGCACATCCCCAACCTTTGCTTCCAGGAAAGTGGAGGGTTATCAGAACCGTAAAGATGATCACGGAGGGTCCCATGAGCCATGAACTCGTAGACTAGGATCATCTCGTTACCGTCATTGCAGTAACCGATGAGAGACACTAAATGATTGTGACGAAGTTGAGAGAGCATTTCAATCTCAGTTTGAAACTCATGGAGCCCTTGTTGGGAACCTTTCTTGAGCCGTTTGATTGCGACAGGGACCGTACCGTCATCAATGTAGCCTTTATAGACGTTACCAAACCCTCCAACGCCTACAATGAAAATATCATCAAAGTTACTTGTGGCTGCTTTTATCTTATCTATTGAAAAGCGACGACACAAATCGGACGGCAATGATGAACCATGAGATTTGTTCTTTTTTGATGAGTCTACTGATTTCTTTCCCCACCAAGAACTGCTTTCGTTGGCTGAAGATGTTGTTCGTTGCCGAATGATAAACATAACAACAACGGATAGCACGACGAAGCCCAAAGCTACCCCAACAACAATGGAAATTACCCTTGTTTTATTGGAGGACTTGGGTGATGGCAAGTTTGGTGTTAAGGGAGAAGGACGCGGATTGGGATTGGGACCTCCAAGATTGCCACTGGCCGGGTCACTTATTTTCAGAATTTCAATACCATTCAATAAGACATCTCTGTAAGCGCTGCTTGCAGTCGGGTTTGGTTGCAACTTGATTGAAAGGTTCTGCTTCTTCAAGCTTCCTTGCCCTCTCATCGATATGGCGTAATCCCTATGGACAGGAACCAGAAGCTGCCTGTTACTCCATATCATCACATCGGCGACACCTTCCACCAAAATATCAGCTATGAAGATCTGAAAAACTCTCTCTGCAACATTTTGAATATGTTGGTCAAACTCACAAAAATGCAATCTCACCATATAAGTAAAATTGGAATCCACTTCAAACTCCCAAGTCACATTAAATTTGGACGTCTGGTTCATCCCATAGTTTCGAGCAGTCATGTATACTGCATCTGGTGCGGTATAATTTGGATAACCTTTATAGTCTAGCTTTAAACCCAAATCTGCTGATACACTATGTGGGCGCTCCTTCTCCACATAGTCGTTATCCATGTCCCAATATCTAAACATGCCAGTGTCATTGATGGGAGGGATCTGACTCCCGCCAACGTTGATTCTATACACAGTCTCAAGAGCATTTCTGTTCAAGACCGGAAACTGGGTGTTTCTTCCATCTAGGCTCATAGCCTCTAGGTCGTCAGGTTTGGTGTAATAAAGGAAGGTGGGCATAGAGACGACCTCGATCCCATTGACAAAAGCATAGGCGTTTGGGTTAGATTGGCTTGGTGTGAAGGTTATAATGAGCACCTGACCTGGGTCAACGTTGACGCCGTATTCTCGTACAATGGCTCCTTCTGGAGCAGCAACATGAAGTGAAGCTCCAGCATCGGCGTTAGCTGAAGCATTGAAGTCCTTAAGAAGGGTATGGGGTCCTGCTTTGACGGAGAAGATTGCATCGAAGCGAAGGAAGTGGGGGTCGTAGGAAGATGGGTAAAAGTAGAGGCGAATATACTTTTGGCCGTCTGTCACCAGAAACGAGTAGGAGAATTCGGAGCGGGAGAGGCGTGCAGTGCCGTAGGGGATTCTTGGGCTGACTTGTGCCTCGGCGGCTTTGACGGGCTGGGTGGCTTTGTTGGGATCTATGAGAGAGAATTGAGTGGAGACAATATCTCCGGTCCAATTCCGCTTATCTTTATCAAGAACGTCGACGGAACTACCACAGTTGACTGAGAAATGCTCAGCAGGACTGTATGAAGTGACTGGGACGGTGAAAAGGAGTTGGAAGAAGAAGAATAAGAGGAAGGTCTGTGGCTCTCTCATAATTGTGATCTCCCCTCCACTCTGTCTCTCTTCTTTTCGTCCTGATGGGATATATTTAAGTTAAATAAAGCTCGAAGAAACAGATCTGATTTCCGTTTCTTTTTGTACGAAGAAACGCTTTGAACATGAACAAACTTGATGAAATAGATGAGGTTTCCAGGAAAGAGAGCTTCATTACACAAACTCAAGTAACAATTTACACCACCTTGACTTTTCCAACCATCTTACGTCACTCTCTTTCCACCATACTTGCCTCGTCACTTCGTTCCCCCAAACAATCTCATAGAACTGGCCAAAAACGATAAGGAAAATTATTGAGAAGTCAGGCAAGGATCATTTTTTTTTCCCCAACAATCTCATGATATGTATAAATTACTGGAGAAAATTAGCTCCATAACTTCAAAAAATATAACTCTCATAAATTATAGATGAGGTTTTTAAATATTTTGAAATATGGATCATTCATAAAATCAATTAGATGTATTTTCCTTTTTTATCCTCAAAATAAATTTATTATTAAAACAAAATATATTTGATTTAATTAATCTTTAGCTGATTGGATTTGTCATTTTTATCATCAAAAATCATATTACGCGTGCTCCCTCTCTAATTTATCATCTCTGAATATTTTTTTATCTTATTTTTGAATCTGATTTTTCTTGATCATCATATTCATCTCTTATACAGTGCTTTTTTGTGTCAAAATTTTTTATCTAATTTTTCTGAATCATTATCTTCATCAAGGAGATTTTCCTCACTCTCTCTCTCTCTTTGTTTTTTCTAGATATTATGAAAAGGACATTAGACATTAAAAAGAAAACTCCATTATTGATATGTGATACTATATCATTGATATACGGCTGTATATCAATGATAAACAAATTGGTGAGTTAAAATCACTGATATGGCTTATATATTAGTGATATATAATTTTATATCACTGATATACTATCGTAAATCAACATAACTAGACAATCAGACATAAACTTATTTATAATTGATATGCAGTCGTATATCAATGATATAGTATCGCAGATCAGTAACATGAAAAACACATAATTATTTTCTCAAAATAAATCAAACAAAATCTCAGAAAACCCTCACTTGAACTCTGACTTTTGTAACAGGGTGGAACCGAACTTTCTCACTTTGGATCTATAGCTTTAGTGTGGCTTTGTGTAAAAGCTACAGTTTTAGACTTCCTCACCTTACATTCGTGATTTTTCAACCTGAATCTGTAGCTTCTAGTCTGCCTTGCCTTGCATTCTTATAGTCTTCTAACTGAATTTCGAACTCCGTTTATCCATCGATGTGAGCTGTTTTGTCATCTACTGTCAATTTCTTCATCGTTGTGATTGAGAGTGCAATGTCGTCTTCACATCTTCGGGTGGGTAAAAGTGAAACCAGTATAAAAAGGGAGAATCAGGGTATTGTGGTGTTAAAGGGTAGTTTTATTTTTTGTATCAAAGGTAAATTAAAAAACGGTCATTATCTTAATTTAAGAAAATGTGGGTTATTAATTTTATTTAACTATATAATGTTGGATAAATTTGTTAAAGCCCCTAAGTTACTGTCAAGTTTTAAATTACGTGTAATTATAACTTACTAAAAATAATAATAATTTGACAAAATAAAATGATAACTTGATATTAAATTCATATTCAAGTTATCATTTTTTATCAAGTTATAATTATATAGTATTTAAAGATTTGAAAATATTTTATACATTTTATAAAAAATTTTAATAATTAAAATCTTTACGAAAAAACTTTGGAGTGATTTCTTTAAAAAAGATACAAGTAATATAAAAACAACTTTTTTTCTTTATTCTTTTGTTTTGGGGGAAAACTTTTCTCTTCATTTGCTTGTCCACCTCACTTTACTGTTGCTCTTTACTATTCCGCTTAAGCAATGAGCCTTGTGCTTCCGTAGAACTCAGAGTACTCTCTTTGTTTTTAAATTATAAAATAATTTTAAATAAAATTTTATACATTAATAAATTTAATTAAATACATTTAATAAATTTATCTTTTTAAAATAAAAATATAAATTTTTAAAAATACTCATAATTTAATATATTGAAAAAAAGGGACGAAAATTAATTATAAAAAAATAAAAGATAATATTAAAATTGCTGTATTTAATGAAACATTAATCTACTTAAAATATTTTATATTTTGGGATGAAAAAACTCTTTTAAAAATATCTTATAATTTGAGATGAAGGGAGTATTGTTTTTCTCACTGCCACATATTAACTTCGACAATTAATTGAGCAATATTCGTATTTTTTTAAGTCAGAGTAGCAATATCCGTATGCACATGCATCGTCAAGGAATACACACACATACACTATGCACAAAGCAGGAAAAATATGTATATTTAACATGGTTTTTCCTTTGTTTAAAAAAAATGCAAGACATATATTTTGATGGATGAATGTTCAAAAATATAAAACATTAATTTATAATGTTTTAAGGTATAATTAATAGGAAAATGATAATAAAACCTCTTTAAATTATATAAATGATATTTTAATCTCTCAAAATACTAAAATTTTCCTAAAGTCTTTATAAACTTTTTTTTATTAAAGAATTAATATAAATTATTAAATTTTTCTTAGTTCAAGATTTTAAATACAAACTTGTGAATTGCTATTCCATTATTGCGATTTTAAATAGAAAAATTGTAAATATTAGAAGAAAAAAAAGTTGTGAATGGTGATTGATATTTACAACATTTGAGAAATATCAGGATTTTAAATGCGAACTTATGAATTACTATTTTAAATTTTGCAATTTTAAAAAGAAAAGTTATATATCTTAAAACAAAATTTATGTATGGCAATTAATATTTGAAGTAAGGGAAATTTGATCGTTTATACTAATTTTCTAATGACAAAAAAGCCCTTAGGGACTTCAACGGATATAGCATTTCAAGGGATCAAAATGTTATCTACATAATCTAAAGGAATTTTATTATTATTTTTCCTAACTAATATGTTTTTTTCAACATCATTAACAAATAAATCACTTTATATTTATTTCAAGTTAAACGCTCTACTAAATAAAGGTAATTAAGGAAAAGTTGATACTTCCTTCGTCCTATATTATAAGATACTTTTAAATAAAATTCGATACTCAAAATATAAGAAACTTTGATAAAAATAAGGTTACCCTTCTTATATATTCTCTTTTCAATATTCTTTCATCAATGGAGTGTCAAATGATGAGAATTTTCAAAAGTTTATATTTTTTTCTTAAAAAAGTAAGCTTATGAAGTGTATTTAATGGACTTTATTGTTATATGTGATCTTGTCTAAAAGTGTATTATAATTTGGGATGGAGGGAGTAGACTTATAAAATCCACAATGTGTCAATCTCTCCAATCTTCTTACATTTGTTCTTAGTTTTAGCTTGAAAAGAAGAGATTCAAAAAATATAATTACAATCATCATATTAATGAAGTAACATAATTAATTATAATTACAATCATCATATTAATCAATTATTTTCATAATCAATTATATCTAACTAAAATTCAAATGTAAAACCTTTAGAGAGAGAGTGAGTGATGCCACCTTAGCAAAATGCGGGACCCACTAACGGTGATAGATGACAAGTTAATGTCAGGGTAATGAAGCTTTGGATTTTAAAGGTTTAGGGGTAAAATTGACTCATAATTAAGTTTAAAGTTTCTGATAATTTTTTGCATATATTTAAAAGACAAATTTGACCTTTAACCCAAAGAAAAAAAATTATGATATTGTTCATCCAACTGTAGATGAAAATATACAAAATACAGGCAACAAATAATAAATTTCTTACATTTATGGAAAAAATTAAATATCATATATTTCAATTTTATTATGAGTTTCATATCTACAAGTATTTTCTTATTATGGATCCCACACCTATTTTTCAATTTTTGTTATGGGTCCCATATGAACTCTTAATATACAAAGATTAAATGAAAAAAAGGTTTACCAAAAAAATTAAAAAATCATGGTACTGGTTCCGTGATATAGTTTTGCTATATATAAATATATATTTATAAAATTTTATTTTATTAAATATAATATATGAGAAAATTTTAATCAATGCATATAGTTTTAAAAAATTAGTTTATCCTAATAATTATGTTTGAAATTGAAAATTTTGAATTAAGATATACTTGTGATTAACATTTTATTTTTCTCTAATTTAACAATACTATAATTTAATGAAGAGTAATTAAGAAAAGATGTCATAAATACTTTTTGAAAATCATTGTTTTGCTTGCTTGCTTGCTTATATTAAAAAATGGGGATCTCTATAGTAAAATTTGTCAATAGATTATGATAAAACTATAGTAATTTTATGAGATACATCAGATTGGATTTAATGACTAGAACAAATATTATCACTTAATGTGTGCCACACATGACATAATAACAATTATTCTATTTAATTGGATTGTTATAATATATTTTGTCATAAAGTATTAAGAAAACTACCAAATCTTAAATTTTAAAGGGGACAATGAATATGAGGAGTTTTTCCATCATGAGAGTTATTTTAAAATTTTATAACAAAATACATCTTGGTAATTTTCAAATATTAATATTATTCAATGATATAATTGATATACTTATTAAATGGGTAGATTTAGATCATTTAGTGAATTCAAATTCGAGATAAATCACAATAGTTCTATAATGATCTAACTATTTTTAAAAAAATTTAAAATTTTATTTTAAAATAATGAAGTTGTTAGTATTGACTACTGCAAACAACTATAATCAATCATAGTTTTAAAATTATGGTTTAATCTATCTATTTTTTTATTATAAATGTCAGATGTGCAATAAAAATATAAATTGAAAATTTATAATAAAATTATAAAATTAATTTTTAAAAATTATAAAAATTCAACTCTATAAATTTGAAATTTGAACTGGGTTACCCCACAATTACTTTAAATAATATATATATATATATATATAAATCACCATTTAAATAAAAAAATATTTAAACTGTTAAGAAAAACATTTGATGTGTGTTTTGTTTTTTTAAAAAGAAACACTAGTTCTATAGATATACTCATTGAATGAGTAGATTTAGGTCATCTAACAAATTAAAATTTGAGATAAATCACAATTGTTCTGCGGTGATCCAACTATTTTTTAAAAAAAATT